CTGGGGAGGCATGGAAGGACCCGCTCAACTTACCTAGCAGCCCGTGGGAGGCAGCCTCTCTGGTCCCAAAGTGGGGGTCCCCCTGGTGGAAAGGAAAGTCAGCCATGGCGGGCCAGGAAGGGAGCTCAGGCAAAACAAGGAGCTTCTCCGCGGAATTCCTGGCAAACAGGAAGCCCCTCTCGACCTGGGGGCTCCATCCCCCCCCCCCCCGGTAGCTTCCCTCCTCAGGCAGAGGCATCCAGAACAGCCACAACTGGGCTTTTGCAAGGACCCTTTGGCACAACAGCCGAAGCGGAAAAGGCAGCGAAAAAGGGGTGGGGCCAATATTCCCCCACCCCCACCCCCCACCCAGTGGAAGAAGCAGTCCAGAAACCTTCCTGGCACCATTTTGGGGCTCTTGCTGAGAGGCCGACTCAAGAGGCCCCACTCACCAGGGTGCCAGGGCCCGGAGCTGACTTCGGGCAGGGTGGGTGGGGCTGCTGCTGGGAAGGGGGCTCCGGGCTCAGGCCCGGTGCTGCTGCTGCTGCCGCCGCCATCGGCCCCAAGGATGCACTTTGACTCTGGGCCCCTGGCAAGGCGTGAGGAGGCAGGAGGGCCACGGCGGGCACAGAGTGAGAAAGGGGGGAGCCTGGGTCCTGGCCCTGCTGGGAGGAAGAACCATCAGCGGAGCATCCAGAAACTCATCAAACCCCACCAGGGGCCCCTCTTTGCAAAGGGCCCCCGCCCCGACCGAAGGAGGGGGGGCAAGCGGAGCCCCCCCAAGTCTTCAGGACCAGTCACAGGGCATGCAGGAACAGCCACAACTGGCAGGCTGGGCCCCCCTGTAGGGGGTTGTGGCATCAGGTGGCCAACGATTCTGCTGCCCGCAAGGGTCAAGGAAGGGGAAGCAGAGAAGGGCCCCCTCGTGACCTCTCAGGGAACACACGCACGCATGCACACACACACCCCCTCCGAATACGAAGACCTTTGCTAGCTGAAACCTTCAATTTCCCCGCAAGTGGACAAGGAAACGGAGTACACAAACATACACACACACAGCCCTCCAGGCCTACCTGGGCTCCTCCGTCCTGTGGAGCCGATTCCCCCAGGATGCCCAGGCTGGCGTCCAGAGCTCCGAGTGGGGCAGGAAACAGATGCGGGGGCAGGAACTGGCCGGGGGCCGGAGGAGGGCTCGGGAAGGTGCCCAAAGAGGCCCTTGTTGCACTTTGGGGCTGAGGCAGCCAAGGGGAAGTGGCAGGCACCTAGCAAACGAGATGGACTGTCAGGCTACGAGGCAGGGATGCGAGGGGCACCGACTCTGAGGCGAAAGGGGAACGGACCCAAGATGAGGGCCGGCGGCTTCTCCCGACCTGAACCCACCACACAGGAATTTTCCCACCCAGACATGGGAGGGGGGAAAGGACTCTTCCTCCCCGTTTAGGATCGGCACAGCTGCAAACAGATTCTGCAGGAGTGAGTCCTCCCCCGCGCAGTGTATTTGCCCGGCCCGCCTCGGAGAGTCACGCTATGAACATCTGAACAGGGTGAGATCCACACAGTGTAGCATCTGGGTGCAGTGAAGGGCTGGGGGGGAGGGGGAAACCAACCGCCGGAGCCGCTTCCTCGCCGTGGGTCTGAGCAGGCGGGCTTGTCTGGGGGGCCACCAGGGGGTCCAGCGAAACGGGAGAGGTCTGGATGGTCCAAATGGACATGGGGTTCAGCGGAGGGACACCTGCAAAAGGTACCCCAGGACAGCTCAGCCGGCTGCGTCTGAACACCATGGGCTCCCAGCCCCAACTCTGGCCATGAGAGTCACCCTGGCAGTGAAACCAACGGCTTCACACAACACCCTAAACTCCAAATCTGGGTTAAGCAAAGACAGAAAAACTGCCCTCCCGCAAGAAGCAGGGAAACTCGCAAAGGCTCAAAGGAAGGCTAGCTTGACGCCACCCGCAGAGAGAAACCTTTTGGACTTCCCCAAATTGCCCATCCAATTGGGGAAGGGAGGCAGGGGGCTGCGCCTGCAAAGAGACTCCCGGGCATCGCCCCAGAGCCAGTCGGGCGACCGAGGCTCTCCGCCCTGGCCCCTCTTTGGCCGGGCCGAACAGAAGAAGCCGATTCCTTTGCTGGAGCAATGGTGGGAAACGGCTCCATCGCTTCAGCCTCTCCCGTCCGAATTGGCTTCCCTGTCGGGGTTCTTGGGCTTAGGAAAAGCTGCCGCCGCGAGATGGGAAGGCTGGCTACAAATAGCGAAAGTGAAAGCACGTATACCTGGGGGGTCCTGGGTGGGGCTCGGAGGCACTTCCGGGGCGGCCAGCTGACTGCCTGCAATAAACACACAACCCTCTTCAGCCTCTTCAACCGCGTTTCTGCTGAAAGACAGTCATCCGAGTAGAAAACCGACCAGGTTAAGAAGAGCCTCGCATCTTGGCCAAACTCGGTCAGGAGGGTTTGCTCATTAGCCTGGCTCGAAAGGGCTTCTCAGTTCCCGCAACTTGCCCTCATGCTAACCCTGGAGGATCATCAAAGCCAACTTGCTTCCACCCAGGAGTGGGATTCAAATTTTTTTTACTATCGGTTCTGTGGGCGTGGCTTGGCAGGCGTGGCAGGGGAAGGATACTGCAAAATCTCCATTCCCTCCCCGCTCCTGGGGGAAGGTTACCCCCAGTTCTCCAAACTACTCCAAATTTCCGCTACCGGTTCTCCAGAACTGCTCAGAACCTGCTGAACGCCACCTCTGCCTTCCGCCCACAGAGGGTCCCTTAATGGAAAATAGTCTTGCAATTTGAAGGGATCGTCTGTGGGGAGCATCCCGAGGGACTAACCCGAACCCACATGGCCTTCGGGGGGAGGGAAGAGCTGGGAGGTGCCCCAGGCACGAGGGACAGGAAGAGCCTCTCAGGACCAGGCTGGGAGACAAGGGTGTCTTCGGACTGTTCAGAAAAGGAGATTTCATCATGGCCGCCGAAGCCCTGAGAGGAAAGAGACCAGCTGTCCAGCTCAATTGGTTTCTGAGCGGTCAGTAAACACTCAGACCTCGGAAAGAATAAACCTCATATGCCTAAAACGGGCCGCCTGGAGGAGGAGAAGGGATACAGGACCAGAATCACGGGAAGGCAGCCGCAGAGAGCGTTCCCCTTGGATTTGTCCACTGATTATATCCCACGGATGTTCCTGCCCATCTCACAGAAGGGAATTCTGGGCGGCGCACAAGAAGAGCCACTGAAAATCCGTCCACGACTGAAAACACCAATCCAGGCATTCTTTATTTCCACCACCCCACAAGTGAAGGGGGAGAAGATTCGCCTCTTGGGGCTCCGGGGAATGCAGCTCCCCCGCCTGTCAGGGAAGGAGACAAGGACGCCGGCCATGTTGGGGTGTCAAGGTTAAAGTCTGGGCAAGGGAGGCTGGAAACAGGGGCTTGGGCTGCTTCAGGGAACCCTGGCCGGAAAGGGGCCTAATAGCCAAAGGGCCCTCCCGGGGCCACGATCCAAGGCAGCCTGGGGGGAGGGCCGAGAACAGCTCCCAGCCAGGGTGGGGGAGGGAGCACCCGAAGGAGACGAGGAAGAAACACGGCAAGTGGCAGTCAGGGAGGCCAGAATGAACGCTCCCGGAAACAACCAAGAGGTTGTTGGCCTGGCAGGGAGGATCGCCTACAGGGCGGGAAAGGGCACAAAACACGCCCAGCCCTGATCCGGGAGATCTGCCAGACCCAGCCCTGATCTGGCCAAGAATCGAATCCGGCAGTGGAACAAAAGGGGGGGGTGTTTCTCCTCCCTCGGGGACAGAACTTCCCTGCGGGGAATCCGGAGTCGGTCACTTCACAAGCCGGACATCAGCAGACGAGGGTTTTGCTCCTGAAGGTGCAATCCGGCGGCCGAATTAGCCGCCATGTTGAGTTGGGAGGTTGGAGGGAAAAATTAAAGAGCATCAACAGAGAAAAACCAAGGCTCTCCTCTCCAAACTCACCACCACCACCACCACAAAAAACAGCAGACCAAAATCCTTCCTTTGAGAAGCTGGGAAGGGAGGCGGAAAAGCCCCTAACACTGCAGTGGCCCTCATTCTGACCAAGACACATACACACACACACACGCAGGAACGCAACCTGGACTTTTCCAACCCCAGTGAGGACATTTTGGACACGCACAACGGATCAGCAAAGCAAGCACAACAGAGAAGTGAAGGCTTTGTAACGCCCGGTTCCCTGCCGGACTCCACAGAGCAAAAAAATGCCGCCTGAAACGAGGCCGTTTTGTTAAAAACGGCCTCTGTTAGCCAAAAGGCAGAGCCTGCGGCCAGCTGGACCGGAGGCAAAGAAGACGCTGTGAGGAAGACTCTTCACAACTGGCAGAACCACAACTGCCCAGAAAGCCACCGACAAAGCCCAAAGGAGCCCGGAGAAGCCATCGTCCCAGAGGCCCACCTAACACAGAGGGACAAGCGGCCATTCGAAGGGACAGCTGCCCGTCTCTTGCCTTGAACCGGTCCAGCCTGTCAATCAACTATCCTTGAACGTCCAGGACCTTTGAAAGACAGCTGTGACCCAGGGCAACCCGAAGAAGCAACGGGCAGAAGCCAACCGACCTCCTCCAGAGAAACGTTTTATTTGGGGTGCGTGTGGAAGCAACCGTTACACCCCAGCCAGTGGACACAAAACCCCAGAAAGCATCCCGGCTGACGGAAGGACCCGTCTTCCACACCAGGACCAGGAAGCTGCCCCCAAGGGCGGCCTGCTCTTCCTGCCAACTTTCAGGGAGCTGTCAGCAACATGTAGCAGCTGCAACCAGGAGGCCCTGCCCAACCTTGGCGAGAGGAAGCCCACCTCTCACAAAACCTGGCTCTTTTGACAGGGGAGAAATTCTTCTCGAGCAGCGGCCAGAGTTGATGTCATGCCTGCCCCAACCTGGGTTCTTAGGAAAGAGACACCCTCGACTCCAGCTGGGCGAGAGATAAACTTTTACTGAGAGACGAGGGGATACAACACAGCAAAGCCAGAACTAAAAATCTGCACCCGAAAGTTCCCCCCGTTAACTTTCCCTTCCTCGTTCCTCTCCCCCGTCATCTCTCTACTGCCCAGTTACGTTCGAACGAATGGTTTTGGTAGATCAGGAGGGGCCGTTGCATTCCACTTCCCGGCCCCTGGCCTTGGGACAACCAGCTGATGCCTCAGGAAAGTACAACGGGTTCCAGGGCAGCTCCCTCCCCCTCCCCACCATCCATAGCAAGCTGGCATCTACCCAAGTGAGGAGGGCACTTCTCCAGAGGAGGAAAAGCAGGCAACGAGTCCCCCCCGGTTCCCGAGACACGCCCAGACCCAGAGGTCTCCCCGTTTCCCCTGGCTTCCCCGCGGAGGACTTACCGAGAGGCACTGCAGGCTGGGCTGGTCCCCTGGGCGAGGCCTGGCCGTCCGCGATGCCTTGCTTGTGGCCCCGGAGGGCCCTCTTCTCCCTCAGTTCCTTCTCTATTTTGAAGAGCTTCACCATAATGAGGCAGCAATACACGTCCTGGGAAGCAACGACGGTTCCACCTCAGAGCCAGGCGGGAACTTCTCGCCCAAAGGCGGCGCCAGAAGAGTTGCAGCCGCAGAATCAGCGGAGGAGCAACTGGGAGGAGGGGAGGAAGGCGGAGCCTCTGTCCTCCCCTTCCGCGTCCCAGGCCGGGAAGGAGGGCAGCGGAGGGGAGAGGGCAGGCAGCTGCGTCCGCTGGGCCAGGCAGAGGACAGCGGGGAAAGGAGCCCTCGGCCATCCCGGGTGAGCCCTGAAGGACCGGGTAATGGGTAAGTGGATTTCCCCTTGTTCTGTAATCTTTCCTGGCACAGTTGTTAAGTGAATCACTGCAGTTAAGTTAGTGCCACGGTCGTTCAATCTGGGTTTCCCCATTGCGTTTGCTTGCCCGGAGATCAGGTGACACCCTCCCCCCGGACGCTGCAGTCGTCATAAATGCGAGTTGTTTCCCAAGGACTTTGATGCTGACCACGTGACCAAGGGGATGCGAAAAACAGTCACATCCCTTTTTTTCTACTGCCGCTGTAACTTCGACCGGTCACTAAACAGACTGTTGCAAGTCTAGAGCTGTGCCGATGGCTGTCTCCTCCCTGGGCCTCAGCAGAGCTTTCAGCAGCTCAGCTCTTAAAGAGCACCCAAGATTGCCCCCCCTTCCAGCTCGAGAGGGGTCCCTGGAGGCCTCTGTCTGGGCTCTTCCCCTTGGGAGGCGGGAGGTGAGGTTGCCGGTGGGGGCACAAGACTGGGTGGGGAGACCCTCCCAAGGTCCAGGCAGAGAGAAATCACCTGAAGCCCAGGTCTGGCTGGTCAGTCCCGGGTGGGGAGCCCCGGCTGGGCAGGAGCGCGGGAGAAGGGGCCTCCTTCCGGGTGAGGAGGAGGAGGAGAGCCTGGCCACCTACCCAGTGGTTGGTCGACTGGTAGACGTCCCCTTCCACCTTCTTGGCGTAGGACACCACCTTCTCCACCTGGTGATCCTTCAGGAGGGCCAAGTCAGGAGTGGGGAAGATGGCATGGACCCTGTGGGGTGGGGTGGAAAGACCGCCGGCCTTCAGCAGGACTGGCAAAACATGGGCACGGCAGCCGCCATGGCGGCCAGATGGATGGACTGTGGTGGTGGTGGTGGTGGTGCCTTTTCGGGAGGTGGCAGATTCCTCTTGAAAAAGCACCCTTGGGAGAAGCATGGGAGGCCTGGAGGACTGAAAATCTCCATGGAGGTATTTAAAAACAACACTATTTCTATAGTCCCCAAGATGCTGCAAGGAGGGTGGAAAGCCAGGGAACCCGGATTTTGTTCAGAACCCCAAAAACTCCAGCAGACAGAGATGTTGGGAGCAGAACAAAAGGCCGAGTGATCGGACACGTCTATTTTTCTTATATTTCTCCCCACGAAACATCAGAGGCTTTCCCCCCGCTTTTCTTTGCCATTTCCTCACTGCCCCTTCCAAGCTGAAGCCCAGCCCACCCACCCCACCCCCGCAACCCCAAAGGGTTACTCACAGCCTCTGCACCACATAATCGCGCAGGTCCTGGTCGGTGTTCTCGTACCAGTCCTTCCTCTGCTGGAAATGGGAGTGCGGGATCGCTCGCAGCGCCAAATACTGGAAGCGCCCAGCCGCGACAGTGGGTGCCGCTTCTCCGGCTGGGGGGCTGAAAAATGGACCACAAAAGACGCCCTGCGGCTTCTCACTTGTGTCCCAGAGCCAGAAACTAAACCCTGAGTAGCAGCCTCAGGCCGTGAGGGCCGGTGGTCGTCTCAGGGCTGAAGGAAAAAGAACTAGGGGGTAGGAAGCCCTTGGGGAAACGAAAGCTAAGGACCCTTTGGGTGAACGGTCCCAGAAGTCCCCCCTCGCTCCCTCCCCTACCGTCCCAGGACGGGCCTCTTACTTTGGCGCCCCAGGTGTCGCCGGGAGAGCCGGAGAGGAAAGGCCTGGCTGCTTGGTTCCTCCAACTTCAGCATCCCCAGGTGCAGCGGCTGCTTGAAAAGAAGGTTTCCCCCCCGTTAGCTTGGAGAGAAGGCAGGCCAGCAGGTGAGCAGACAGACACACGGACAGCTACCAGGCCGGGCTCTGGAGCTCCCACCCTCCCTCTGGCCACTGGCTGCTGGGCTCCACAGAAGAGAGGGCTCGTCCAAGAGGGCACCCAAAAGGCCCAGGGAAAAGGAGAAAGACGAAAGGAAAGCTGTGAAGAATGACCTGGGGGTGCGGAGGGGGCCAGTTTTCTCCCACTCCTCCATCACCACCAGCACAGCTGAAGGTGGGGAGGGCTGAGTCAGGGAGATCTCACCCCAAATGCAGGGCTTCCTCCATCCAGGGAAGGAGCCCCGTTTGCAGCAGGGCGAGGAGGAGGAATCGGATCCTGAGCGGGGAGCCCCAGAGGGGGAGGGACCCATGGATTCAGCTGGGGGAGCTGGTCCTCCGCAAAGCCAGGCACCACCCAGGATGGAGGCAGCCAACATGGTGCCCGTGGGAGTCTCACCGAGCAATGCCAGCCTGGCTGCTCTCTCTCTGTCTCTCAGCCGAGAGAGACCTGGGGCATCCCTGCCTCTTTGGAGCCCCACCGTGACCACTTGGGAGACCTGTGGGCTTCCAAGTCCCAGAATTCCCCGGCCACCACAACTGGCTATGGAATTCTGGGAGTTGAAGTCCACAGCAGAGGTGGTGTATTCAGCAGGTTCTGACCAGTTCTGGAGAACGGTGAGTGGAACATTTGAGCAGTTCAGAAAGCCACCTCTGACTGGCTCTGCGTCCCACTGACTCCCGGCTGGGTCTCCTTTGGTCGCCCTGCAGAGGAGAACGGAGCTGGAAAGCAGGTCAGTGGGGTGGGGAGGGAAGGGGGAATTTGTAGTATATCCTTCCCCTGCGCCCCCCCACCAGGCCACACCGACAGAACTGCTAGTAACACATTTTCAGTCCCACCGCCGGTCCGCAGGCCTTTAAGTGGCTACGGCTGGACCCCGACCATCAGGCCCAGCAGGCTCTCCTTGCCTGCTGCCCACAGCCTCCCCCCCCAACCAGCCTTTCTCCCTTGCTCTCCCCACAGATTCCCCGCCCTCCCCTGCCGCCATACCTGGCTCGGGGGCGCCCCTCCTGGTCCAGCCGCCGTCCCACCTCTCCATCCTGGGGGGCGCCTTGGCCGGGGCTGCCTCCTCCGGGGGCCGCGCCCACCAGGCCTCCACCTTCCTCTGCAGGGCGAGGCAGTAGGCCTTGAGGTCCTCCTGCATCAGGTGCGCCTCCTTGAAGGGGATCTTCCAGAGCTCCTCCTGCATGGCCACCACCTTCCCCTGCAGGGCCACGGCCATCTCGGGCGGCGTCTCCTGCAGGCTCTCGCGCACCGCGTGCACCTTCTTCTGCAGTGCCGTCACGATGCCCGGCAGGGCGTAGAGGATGCGGGGAAGGCCGCTGAGGTTGTCCTCCAGGATCTCGTCCAGCGCGTGCTCCAGGTCGGCCAGCTTCTCCTGCACGGCGCCCTCCTCCTTGCGCGGCATCTTCCAGAGGGCCCGCTGCATGTCACCCACCTTCTTCCAGAGGGGGCTCCAGAGCACGTTCCACAGGTAGTAGGAGAGCACGCTGATCTTCTTCTTGGCGATCTCGCGCAGCGCCCCGCGCAGCTCCTCCGCCTTGGCCCACAGCGGCTCTCGCAGGGCTGAGCCGGCCAGCGCCTCCCGCAGCCCGTCCGCCTCGGCCAGCAGCGCATCCGCCTCAGCCAGCGGTTCCGTCCAGAAGTCGGTGGCGGCCTGGCGCAGCGCCTTGGCCTTGGCTCGCAGCAGCAGCACCTCCCGCACAGGCAGGGCCTGGAGGGCCGCCCGCAGGGCCGCCAGCTTCTCCCGCAGTGCCTCCCGGTCGGCTAGCGGGGTGGTGGCGGCGGCCTCGTGCAGTGCCCGCAGCTCCTCGGCCAGCGCCGCCACCTTCTCCTCGCGGTCCAGGTCGGTGGCCAGGAGGAAGACCTCCGTCTTGAGCGCCCAGACCTTCTCCAGCAGCGCCGCCGCCTCATCCTCCCAGCGCCCGCTGCGCAGGGCACTCAGCTGCTCCCGCCAGGTGTCAGGCTGGGCCCTCACAAAGGCCTCGTCCAGTGTCCCCAGCATGGCCAGCAGCTCGCCCGGCTCCTCGGGACTCCCCGGCAGCGCCTGGCGCAGCGCCCGCGGCTGCTTCAGCAGGGCGAAGACCTCGTCGAAGGGCGCGCTCTGCAGGGCGTCGCGCATCTCCTCCAGCGAGCGCCAGCGCGGGGCCACCTCGCCCTCCGCCGCCGTGCCCTCACCCTCCTCCAGGGCGCGCAGCAGCGGCAGCAGCCCCGCCGTCCCGGCCTCCTCCTCCTCCTCCTCCTCTTCCTCAGCCAGCGGTGGTGGCGGCGGCTCCTGCTGCAGGGCGGCGCTCAGGGCCTGCGCCTCCCTCCGGGCCGCCTCGGCCTCCTCCAGCGGGGCGGCCCAGAGCGCCTTCTCCAGCCAGGCCACCCACCAGCTGTCCGTCTTCTCCAGCAGCGCCAGCGCCCTCTCCAGCGCCGGCCGCAGCTCCTCCAGCGGCGCCTCGGCCAGGCAATCCCGCAAGGCCGCCGCCTTTTGGCGCAACGGGCCCGGCCGGCCGGCCCCGCGCAAGGCCGAGCGGGCCTCCCCGCGCAACGCCCCGGCCCGCTCGGCCCAGCCGCCCTCCTGCTCCAGGAGCGCGTCGCGCAAGGCCAGCAGCTGCCGCACCCGCGCCCGGCCCTCCCCGCGCACCGCCCGCTCCAGCCCGCGCAGCGCCCCGCCCAGCCGCTCGCCCAGCAGCTGCTCCAGCGCCAGCTGCAGGTCGCCGCCCTTGGCGATCAGGTCCCCGACGCCGCCGGGCTCCCACAGCGCCTCGGCCAGCGCCTCCCGTTGCGCCGCCGCCTTGGCTTGCGAGGCCGCCTCGGCCGCCGACACCACCCGCGTCCCGCCCGACGCCGCCGCTCCGCCGCTCTCCGGTCGACCCAGGCCCGGCGTCGGCGTGGGCGGCGTCGGGGCCGGCGGGGTCTCGCCCTTCTTGGCCACGGCGAAGGCGGAGGCCAGGGCCCGCTGGCGCAGCGCCTGCATCTCCCGCAGCAGCGCCATCTCCAGCCGCAGGAAGGTCTGCAGCCGCTCCTGCTGGGCCTCCGAGAGCGGCCCGGGCCGGGCTAGCAGAGCCTCCCGGCCTCGCCTCGCTTCGCTCAGCTGCTCCAGGCAGCCTTCCAGGCTCATCCGCGGCAGCTTCACTTCCCGCCGCCAGCGGGACCGCACCGCCGCCGAGACCCGCTCGCCCAGCAGCGCCTCCGCCTCGGCCAGCAGGCACGCCATCCACTCCGGCGAGAAAGCCGGCGCGGCGCCCCCGACCGGACCCGCCGAGCCCGGCTCCATCCCCGCCGCCGCCGCCGCCGCCGGAGGACCACCGCGCGCTCTCCCGCCCGCTCCGCCGGCGCTTCCGGGGCGGAGCGGCGGCTGCGCGGTTTTTGGCCTGCGCGCCCGCGGGGAGGGAAGGAGGGAGGCAGGCCCGGGCCGAGTCGGCGGGAGCTCGGAGAAGGCGGCTCTCAGCCGGCCGGACGTGACTCTCCCGCCGCCTCCGGAGCCCGAGCGGGGCGGCGGGGACCCGGCCACACCCGCCTGAGGCCTGCAGGGCCGAATCCAGGCCCCGCCTAGGGGAGAAGGGAGCCTACAACCGGCCTCGGATGCCCGGGAGGACCGGGGGAGGGGGAGGGAGGGGAACTCCCGGGGGAGGGGGAGGGAGGGGAAGCCCTCCCCTTCCCCAGGGCTTGGGGGGGGCTTTCCAGAGGCTCCTGCAAGCAAGGGGGGCGCATGGGGGGGACCATAGCTGGGGTTTCCCCCCCCCCCAGCTTCACAGGGGGGGCGGCCGCCGGTTCTGCAGAAGGTTCCGGTCCATCCAGGGCTACAAAATGGCGGGCAAAAGGAGGGCGAGCAGCCCCTTGGAGGGACGTTCGCGGGTTTGCCCAGAGCAGCTTCCCTTCCGACGTCGCCGCTTGTTTGCGTGACTGGGTTTCATCGCTTTGGGAGTGCTTGGAAAGACTTCGGGGGCGACGTTTGGCCTCCTGCCTGTCTTCTTCTTCTATATCTATCTATTTATCTATCTATCTATCTACACACACACACACACCCCTCCCCTCAAACAAGGCTGGTGGCCCGGTGATGCTCTCCTGAGATCCCCCCTTGGAAGACCTCCAGGGAATTTTCTTATTATTCCTGTGTTATCTTACCATGTTCCTATAATACACTAAGATTCTTTATATTTTGATTTTTCTTATTTTTTAAATAAAGAATGGACTGTTAAGTTCTACAGGTGCGATCTATCCATCCCTTCCATCCTTTCTTTCTTTCTATCCATCCATAACTATCTCAATCATCTATATCTACCCATCGATATCTACCCATCGATATCTACCCATCGATATCTATCTATCTATCTATCTATACACACACACACACCCCTCCCCTCAAACAAGGCTGGTGGCCCGGTGATGCTCTCCTGGGATCCCCCCTTGGAAGACCTCCAGGGAACGGAGGGAAGCCGGCTAATGGCAGCTCCTGAAGGCAGGGAGGAAAGCGGAGCCATTGTGCCTCCCCTACCAGCCCGGGAGGATGGAGGGCAGGGGGGGTGCAACTGGTGGGGGGGGGCTCCATCCCCAAAGCCACAAGGGAGCCTTAAGCCCAGGCAGGAGAGGGGGGGGCTAGGCAAGGGCTGACCGGCTGCAGAACACCACCCGCCACACCCCCTGTGGAAGCAACAAAGCCCCCCCCCCTTCCTCTCATGGCCCAGGTGGTGGCCACCCGCTCGGCCACGGAAGCCCCTCCCCCCCGCACTCCCTCCCAGTCTGGGAAAGCAGCTGGTGTGGTGGGTGCCTCCGGGCGGCCTATCCAGAGGGAAGTCCATATTGTGTGCAGCTGGAAACATCGTCCACTTTCCCATTAGACAACAACGGAAGGACAAATCAAATTTATGGATTGGCGAGAACTGCCCGGCTTCCAAAGCCAGGAAAAGAAGCTTCCCAGTTGTGGGCCCTGATCCAGTCACCCCAGCTGAGCTGCCTCCAGGAGGGCCTTTCCCCCCCCCCTTCCCAAACTCTCGGCTGTTCGCCCCACCTGCTTTAGCCCTGCCACACGCGCACATGCACGCACACAGAGTTTGATGCTGGCTGGATTCCCAGAGGGAGCAGATAAAGGCCCCTCCCCGGATGGGGCTCGACTCCCCTTGGGATGCTCCACCGGGCATCCCCAGTGGCCCCCCCAGCCCCCTCCCCCTTTGGGCCCAGCTGAGCGCGTCCCACCGCCGAGCCCTGCCAGTCCCTGGAAAGCCCCGGCGTGCCGACCTCCCCGCCCCCCAAGGGAAGCCGCCTCACGGTGTCAAAAAACCCAACGGCCTCTGAATTGAACCCAAAGTCCTTCCAGTGCCAGGGAAAAATGGCCTGTCTGGGAAACGGAGGCGAAGAAGCTGCCATCAGAAATGGATGACTGGGGGGGGGCTCCCAAGCGGCCTCTGGCCCAGAGCCCCCACAGCCCAGCCACAGGCCTTGCGGTGCTGGCTCTCCCTCAGAAACGGCGGCCCACCCGGGAAGGAGGCCCCGGAGGCAGCCAGGAAGCCCAGGCCTCGGGGGCATCTTGCTCAACGGCCCCACCTCATGGTCTCTTCTGGGAGGGGAGACCAGTGAGTATCCAGGGGGGGCCCCAGTGGTGACTCCTGGGGGGGTCCGCAGGGGCCAGGAGCCCCTCCCTGAGAATGGGCTGTGCCCACCTTCATTCAACCCCCCTTTGGACTCACCTGGGCTCAGAATGGAAGTGGGGAGGGTCTCCCCTCCCCCCCTCCTCTCTCTGCAGAGCTGAGCAGAACAGGCACCTCCAGCCCAGCCCCCACGTGGTCCACAAAACCCTAGTGCCCGAAGGGACCCTTGAGGCCATCCAGTCCACACTCACACGCGGCCAAACGTTTCCACTTGTCTCAGTCGTTCTCAGCGCTCAAAAATCAACAGAATCCTTTGCGACTTGGAAATTGTATTTCGCGGGAGGCCTCGGCTGCCCCTTCGGCCGCCGCGCCCAGCCGGCTCTTACATGCGGAGCAATTCCACTGGGGGTGGTGGTTTACAATTCCACCCTTTCACTCCCGGCGTCCTGCCGTTCGTTTCCCCGCGTGTTCCTGGGCGCCTCACCCTCTCCTAGATGGGGCTTCGTTTCCAGGATGAGGAGGGGACTGGAGACTTAGACGTATGAAGAACGGTTACAGGAACCGGGCCTGGCTAGTCTAGGGAAGGACCGGGGAGACAGGAGAGCAGCCTTCCAAGATTTGAGGGGCTGCCCCAGAGAGGAGGAGGAAGGACTCAAGGTACCTGAAGGCCAGACAAGGAATCGTGGATGGAAACTGATCAAGGAGAGATACAACCTGGAAATAAGGAGAAACTTTCTGACCGTGAGAACCATCAACCGATGGAACAGAAGTTGCCTTTGGGAGTTGTGGGAGCTTCATCCCTGGAGGTTTGTTTCCAAGAAGAATTTGGACTGCCATTGGTCAGAAATGGTGTAGGGTCTCCCGCTTGGGCGAGGGGGCTGGACTAGATGACCTACAGGGCCCCTCCCAACGCGGATTACCTGTTTATCTTCTGACCTTCCAGGGATATTTCTGGCTTCCAGGCTGAGGTGCCCCCCATGTCCACCCAGCCACTCCCCCACCCTCTCCTCCATCCCATGCCTGGAGGGCCCCCTCCTGGCCCCCCTTCGCTCCTCTCTCTCCCCCGTTGGGTGGTGGGCCCCAGGGACCCCAGGAGGCGGCCTTCCCAGCCGCTGAAGCCCCCCACCAGCCCAAACTTCAGCCGTTTGGCTGGCCAGCACAACCCCCCGGCTGTTCCTGGAAGCCCCTCCCCAAGCACAGGCTCTGTTCGCTAAGCACCAGCAGCCCCTCAAGGGGTCCCAAGCCCCCCCCCCAAGAGAAGAAGGGCCTTCACGTTGAGGCCCCAGGAGGACTCAGCTCCACTCCTCCTGCCAAGAGGGCCTGCCCTGCAGAAGAGATTCGGCCTCTTGACCGCTGCAGGAGCCCACATAGCGGCATTCCCATCCGAGCAATTCCTAGCCCGCGTGGAGCTTTTGGGGGTGGAAGGCGGGGAGGGGGATGGGAAAATCCGCTTCCGTATCTCCCCCCTCCCCCCCCGGATGGTGTCCTGCTTCTGGCAGCAGCAGCCCCTCCCCCTGGGCCCTACTTGTAGGTCCAGCAGGCGGTGGCCCAGCCCTGCCCCTTGCAGAGCTCCTTGTGCTTCAGGAAGCAGCTCTGGACGCGGAACTTGCGTCCGCAGTCCTGGCAGGTGTGCAGGTTCCCGTCGTGGGTCTTCATGTGCTCCGTCAGGTGGTGCTTCAGCTTGAACTTCTTGGGGCAGACGGAGCAGCCGAAGGGCCTCAGGCTGAAGGTCAGCATGATGTGCCGGTCCCGCTTGGGCTTCACGGCGAAGCGCTTCCCGCACAGGCAGCCGAATTTCTTCCCGTCCGGCGCGGACATCAGCTTGACGGGCGCGTGCACCACCTGGCCGTGCACCGTGTGGCCCAGGATCTCGTTGCCGTGCAGGTCCACGGGCTTCCACGAGCTCTCGGGGAAAGCCGCCACGGAGTCGGCGGAAAGAGCCGCGGACGCCCCGCCGGGCAGCGAGAGGTAGCCGAGCGGCTCGCCAGCCTGGATCTCCGGCTGGCAGAGGCCCGGCACCTCAGACGCCCCGCCGGGGGACTTCAGGAAGCCGGCCTCAGAGAGGCAGGAAGCCGGGCCGCCCCCCAGAGCGGAGGAAGGAGCCTCCTCGGGGTCAAAGCGCTCCTGCTTGATGAAGAAAACCTTGGGGGCCTCGTGGGGCGAAGCGAAGGCCGGGCCCGGCTCCCTGGACCCTTTGCCAGGACAGGCCCTGCCACGGCGGCCCTCTTCCTCCGCCACCACCTCCTCCTCCTCCTCCTCATCCAAAACCACCTTCACCAGCCGCTCAGCCGAGCCGCTGCTGCAGATCTGGGCCTGGCGCTCCTCCTCTTCTTCCTCCTCCTCCTCTTCCTCCTCCTCCTCTTCCTCCTGGGACACCCGGATCTTCACCACCTCCTCCTCCTCCTCCTCGTCCAGGCGGTGCGGGCGGCGGGCGGACCCTCCTCCTCCGTCCTCCCGGAGGCCCGGGCGGTGGCTGCCGCTGCTGCTGCTGGGGCTCTCGGTGGCGGCGGCGGCGGCGGCGCGGGCGGTCCAGGGCCCGCGGGCGTAGGCGAGGGGCCCCCCGGCCGCCTCCAGCTCCTTGAGGACGCCCGAGCACTGGTCCACCACCTGCCACATCTGCAACCCGCTGGCCGCCAGCAGGTGCCCCGGGAGGGCGTCGAGCATGAGCCGGAGCCGCCCCGAGTAGATGAGCTGCAGCAGGTTCTCGAAGGCTTCGGGCTCGATGGCGCCGGGCAGGACGAGGCGTCCGGCGTCGCGGAGGAGCAGCTTGTCGTGGAAATAGGGCGAGGCGGCGGCCAGGACGCTCTTGTGCGCCTGGAAGACGCGGCCCTGCACGTGCACCGACAGGTCGCAGAACTTGCCCTCCAGCCGGTGCCGGTTCAGCGACTCCAGCAGCCCCGCCGCGTAGTGCGGGAACTCGATCTGCACGCTGCGCGCGCCCGCCGCCGCCTCCATGGCCGCCGCCGCCGCCGCGGGAAGAACCCAGGCGAGCCTCCCCGGGAGCTGGGGCACTCTCTGCGCACGCGCG